ATATATATGCTGGCTATTGCCCATTTAGGTATATGAATGGCTTTCCTAGCAGAAACCTAACAAGGTGTATTAAGGATTGTTGCTACTTGTGGTCTTTGTCATTGTCTGATGCAATCAGTTTAGCCAGACTCTCGAGGATAAAGAAGAGAAGGTAGGAATTGGTCATCCTTCTCCTGGAAGATCTCCTTGGACTAGTGAACAGTCATTAGGCAATTCCGTTCCAGCACTTTCTAGAAACTCCATAGATGGCCGTCGGGGAGGACTTTGCTGTCATAACCACGTTGCTAGTTATGTGAGCTTGGGAAGTTCATTGTCCCTCTCTTAATCTTTGAGTTGTGCATTTTAAAGGTCAGGGATTGGGCTACTGTACTACTGATTTCTTACTCTTGTGTCCATTATCTCTATCAGATGATAGCCCAGGAGGATTTAATAAAAAGTAAAGGGCCAGTGAAAAAATTTGCTAAAGGCTATTCCGTGTTGTGCCTATGTCCTGAAAAGAAACCACAGAAATAACCATATTGGAAGAAATTTTTTCAAAAGTGATAAGTGCCTGAAATATATTCTGTACTGAAAGTGTAAAGTTTAATGTGAACCTACACAGCTTCTGTTCCAAATGCCTGTTCTAACTGTACAGAAGTTCATTGAGTTGTAGAGACTGTGGGTCCGGTTAATTTTGGTGTGTGATTTTTTTCATGCCAATTTTTATAATAAAGTTTAGAAAGTTAAGAAGAGTGAATTTCAAGTGAAGATTATATTATACTCCATCAAATAGTTCAATGGAGCTTTTCTGGTATTGATAACAGAGGTGCTGGAGGCATCTGCTTTTGTGAGCACAGAGTCTAAAAAAAAATCTGTGTTGTCAACTTCTTAGGAGACTTTGGTCAGACCATTGGGAACACAGATTTATTTTTGTCTCCATCCCATTTTAATGTTGGATTCTACTTTGGGGATCAAACAAAAGACTCTTAATATTTTTGTGTCTAAGGTCTCTGGAGAACTGAGACTACTGGCTTGATCCCTGTGAATGGCTTCCCATACCTTTCTTGCTAACCCACCTGTGGACAATGTACAGTAGGCATCGTTGCTGCAGCCTCCATTGCGAAGGCAGAAGAGCTGGGGATAAAGGGCCTAGCAAGTCAGTACGGTAGTGTCAGTTCTGCAGGGTCAGGTCCAGATATTTACTATATTTAAGAGTCCTTTAAGTGTTGAGGACCGTCATGATTAACCAGAGGATATTTCATTGTTCCTGACCTTGTTGGATTGTTCCTCTCAGGTCCCCAACCCCAGTCGTGGAAATAAAAAGTGCCTTTAAGCTCTGGTGTGGTATCTTCTGGAATTGGGGAGAAATATAATTTCATATCTTCTTGTGGGGACCTTTCATTTTTAGGGAAAACAGAGCAGTCTGGAGCAAGCTTCTGAATCTCTCTGTATCTGTTCTCTCCTTCATATAACAGTGCTTAAATCTTTTGATTATTGAGAAGGATCTAGAGAAAGTTAGAAACATGTCAGCCCCTAGCAGGAGATGATGCCAACACCACAGTATCAAATGGACATTGGGTGGTTCAAGTCTGAAGTTTTCTGATGCTTTCTTTCTTAGAAACCCTGATCTTTGGAGCACATTTCTTCCTGACATGGCCCCAGAGGACACCGGATTCATTTGGCATCTAGTTCTTCAGTCCCAGTCTGTTTTGTAGTCAATAGGAGATCCTGTCTGACCTCTCATATTCTCTGTACTTTCTGCATGTTCACTCTGTATACAAACCTGAGCTCTTTCTGCTGGCATCAACATTCCATGCCCTGAGTCTATGAGGCTGCCTGGCATTTTGATAAAACTGCCAGGTCCTCCTTTTGCAGTTTTCCTCTCCAGGAGTTTCACCCCATTAGCACCAAGAATCCAGGCCTCAAGTATCTTAAATTTTTGAGCCAGTCAAAAGGACAATGGTACAGGGCTCACCAGTATTCTAATGCTTCCAAGAGAGAATGACTGTAAAAGTTATTTTATACCATTACCATTACAGGGCCACAAGGAAAATAATGTGGCTTTGCTTATCCTCCTAATCACAACTGCATACTGTAGTATGACTTTGGTAGGATAATAAGTTATTAAGTGTTGAAAAATCAAACAAGATAATAGATACAGTATAGCAGGGTGGTGGTGGCACAACTCCTTTAATCCCAACACTCGGAAGAGAGGCAGGTAGATCTCTGTGAGTTTGAGGCCGGCCTGGTCTACAAGAGGCAATTCTGAGATAGCCAGAGCTGTTACCAAAATCAAATAAATAAATAGATACAGTATAGAAGAAAAAGAAGTTTACTCCACACAAAGCAGGTTTCACTAAATACAATGAGTTGTGGAGACTGGTTAGGAATCATTACAGTCCTATAAAAAGTGACAAAACAAAAATATTATCAATTGGTTTATTCCTGTTAGTCTTCTGTGATATGAGCCAATGCCTTCATGGAGAAGAGAAAGTGGCTCTAACGATGTTCCCCTAACCTGACTGTGTGGAGAGCGCAGGGGTGGATTCTGGAGGAAATGCTGACCATTCACCATGTTCTGAGATAGGATTTTTAGTGTCAGAATTTGGTATTTATAATAAAACCAAATGTTCAGGACCAACTAGGTGTGTTTACTGGGGGTATTTATGTTCTGAGTATTTTGTCAGGATGTACATAGACAGTATAAGCAGAATTGAAGACGTACTCTTTTTAAATTATTGTTGTTGTTGTTCTAATTTTATTTGTTATGCCATGATATACCATGTTCATGATATATATGTGGGAGTGTGTATGTCACAGTAGGATTGTGGAGGTCAGAGGACAGCTTTGTGGAGTTACTTCTCTCCCGTGTTTGTGTGGATTCCATCAGATCTCCAGGCTGGCTGATAAGCTCTATCCATTGAGCAACCTGGATGTCCCAGCATTGTTCTTTATGAAAGAGAAACCTGTTGCCAAGTGTGGCCCATTCATGGCATCTAGTAAAAGATTGGAGGCAAAAGGTTTCTGACAAACTGTATTAATTTTGCTGAAAGGTAATGAAGTATGTTTTGAAGCAAATTTTTGGAAATTACTGGCTTTCCTCTTGGGTAGCTCTGCATTTCAACAGACAGCACTCGACATGAAGTCACCTTTCCCTCCAGCTGCTCCTCATAGTGTCGCACCTGCTCCTGCAGGACTCCTCACTGCTTGCTTGCCCCACTGGGGTCCTATGTAGGCATCAGAAAACTTTAGCTCTAAAGCAAATGTGTACCACTTATCATATTTATATTTTCATTTCAGAAAGTGGATGTCACCAGCAGGGCTGTGATGGAAATAATGACGAAAACAATTGAATACCTTCAGCCCAACCCGGGTAAGTGTTGTTGTGCGCACTTGGCGTTCCCTCAGGTTAGCCTCTCACTGATTGACAGGTCGGATTTGGTAGCTTTCCCCTTCCTGTGAGGGAGGGTCCATTTTAAAGCTCATGTTAAAATGCCTGCAAAGTATGTGATATTTTATCCAACTGTGGTGTCCTTAACAGTGAATCTATACAGCGTGGGTGACATATCATGTCAGGGTGGCTACAACTTATTTTCAGATGATAGTTTAGTTTTTCAAGAAATGGTAAGAAAGAACATGAGACAGTTTTGGAATTGTCTGTGATGACTTCCAAACGATCAGGAAAAGAGTAAGCCAATATTTTTGTGAAGTACAAATGGTTTATGCTTATACGGCATAGAGGGCTGTCCCTTCTCTTCTCCTGGCACATCATAGACCAGCATTATGGAGATTGGTTAGGAATCTTTACAGCATCAGTTCCTGCTAACCTCTTGCACTAAATCTGTGATGTGGGAAGTCCTTCTGTATATGTGTTGCTTTTATTGATTAATGAATAAAGAAGCTGCTTGGAACTACAGTAGGGCAGAATAGAGTTAGGTTGGAAAACTAAACTGAATGCTTTGAGAAAGTAGGCAGAATCAGAGAGATACCATGTAGGTGCCAGAGGAGAAAGATGCCTACATGCTGGTACCAATAAAACATGAGCCTTATGGTAAAATACAAAATAATAGAAATGGGTTAATTTAAGATGTAAGAGTTAGTTATAAAGAAGCCTAAGCTAACAGGCCAAGCAGTGTTTTAATTAATACAGTTTCTGGGTGACTATTTTAGGGCTGGGCAGCCGGGAAACAAATGAGTGGCCTCTGCCTACAGATCTGAGACAGGAATTGTAGTAGAGATAATGGGAGTCCCTAGAAGACAGGACCAGGTATGACTGCTGCTATCTCTGTGGTACTAGGTAGAGCAGAGCACACTAGCCTCCATCATAGGCCTTCATACATTGTACGGCCTTTAGTTCCTGACCCCAGCTACAACTTGAAGCAAGGCTAAATGCACTGCTTGGGAAAATATGGGGATTTGGAAAGCTAGTGGCCCTTGAGTCACTTAAGGTTCTAGGTCTCTGGGAGTCCTTAAGATCCAGGCAACGATTTCAGTCTCAGTGGGCTCAGATTCAGGGTCTAAGTCTCAAAGGGGAACAAGAGAGTGTGGGGCAGAAGCACGGAAGTGCCATGGTGTTGAGGCAGCAGGCTCCATCCTAATTTGTGGCTGCTGACAGTGGAGGCTCCCTCCTGATTTATGGCTGCTGACTGTGGCCTTCTTCTGATCTTTACTCACTATGGCAGTTCAGTTACGATCTCCAACATGAATCAGTGATGTAGAAATGATATTCTCTCTATTTTCCCTTAAGCCATATTAGAGATGAGATGATGTGATAGAGGAAACACAGAAGAACATATGAAAGGTTCAGAAATGACTTTAACTGATCATAGACCAGATAAGTTTTCAAGCTGATTTGTAAGCAATGTCATGAATACCAAGAAGCCAAGTTTCATGTCGCTGCCTACCTTCTAGTGTTTATATTCCACAGAGGTACAAAGATCTCATAGACACACACATATTTATTCAAGCAATGGTACTAGGTCAAGTCTTGAAAAGAGAGCTGCTCGCCTCACCTTGCTTTACCATAGTGATGGTTTTATAGAATTAAGAAATGTACCTATTGTCTTTGCAAAAAACCCTTAAAGAACCCCATGTTTCCTTCATCTTCATGTGTGAATTACATTGGTAACTAACTGTTGTGGGACATGATGTCAGAAATGAGAGGAGAAAATGGTATTTGTCAAGTTCTATTGCAGCTTTAGTACAGTACCAATAACATACAGCCTCATCTTAAAACATGTCTAACTTTATTTTTTGACAGTCACATACATGTATATATTATGCCTTGATCATATTCAGTTAGTTTCTCTTGTTTTTCCCTCCTCCCACAGATACTTTTCTACTTCCCAACCAATCCCCCTCCTACTTCCATGTCTTTGTTTGTGGGATCCTATGAGTGTCATTAGGGTTGCTTACCAATCTGGGTCAGGCTTCTCTGCAGCAGCACAGCCAATTTATGAATGGCCTACACCATAGAAGATGAGTCCCTCTCTTTCCCAGAAGCTATTAACTGCCTCTGAATCATTGAGGGGAGATGGAGCCTGATGCATTAGTTCTTCCCCATCCATAATGGAATATGGAGAGGCTTAATCTTGTTTAGAGAATCACACCTCCTGTGGGTTGAGTGATAGAGCCAAATCATGCCCTAAACACTGTATCCCACAATGCCCCTCTCTTCCTTCAATTCTTATATTCTTTCTACTTTTTCTGTTACACTGTTCCCTAAGTGTTGAGAGACTATGAGTAGATGTCTCATTTTCTGTTGAGCACTCAATATCTTAATCTCTCAAACTTTACCAGTTATGAGTTTGATAGCATGGAAGTTTCTGTCCCGCCTGGTTCCACCACTGTTCAGTCCCAAAGAAAAACACAGAGGCTTATATTAATTATAAACGATTTAACCTGTTAGCTCAGGCTTAATATTAACTATCTCTTACAATTTAAGTTAACACATAATTCTTGTTTATGATTTGCCATGTGACTTGGTACCTTTTATCAGTGAGGCATTCTTATCTTGCTTCCTCTGTGTCTGGGTGGCGACTGCAGACCCAGCCTTTCCTTTTCTCAGAATTCTCTTAGTCTGGTCGCCCTGTCTGTACTTCCCTCCTGGCCACTGGCCAATCAACATTTTATTAAACCAATAAGAATAACAAATCTTTACAGGATACAAGAGTATTATCCCACAGCAATCTGCAGTAGCTGCTATCTATCTACTACAAAAGTAGCTTCCCTGACCAAAGCTGACAGTAGCACTAATCTGTGGGCAAAAATGAAATAGAAAAATATTTGAGGAACAACATGGCCATTTAGCAAAGTAACTGCTTTAGGCTACCCCTGAGGCCTGTGTCCTCCCCATCCTGGGCTTTTTGAATTAAATTGGAGGTAGGCATGCATTTTCTCCCTGGAAGTGAGCCTCAAAATCAGGAAGGGGTGAGTGCCCCCATAAGAGACATGCCACGGTTGCACTAAGAGACACGTCTGGCTTGGTTATTGCAGGATCCACAGCTGAGTAAGACAGTTGATAGTTTTCCTATAGCAGCAGGAAAAGAACCTGCTGGTGATAGGAGGGCTAGCTAGCAGGGAGGAATCTTCCAGCTCAGTTCAGTTCTGTTTCTCTATGTCCTCCTATCAGAGAGTGTGGTATCCTCAAGAAAATGATCTTTCCATGTAGATCATCTGTTTCCTTGCTATTGTAAATGGAGCAACAGTGAACTTGATGACAAGGACGTCTGTGGAACCCCTGCCCTGATTCCCATAGTGTTTGCACTAGATTATACTCCTACTGTGAATGAGTGAGGGTTCCCATTGCATTCTCCACACTCTGGACAGCATGCCTTGTCATTTGTTTTGTCATGAGAATGGCTGTTCTGACTGGAGAGAGATGGATTCTCAAAGGAGTTTTAGTTTGCATTTCTCTGATGACTAGCAATTTTAATGTAGATCTTGAACACTTTTAAAAATATTTATTTGCCATTTGTAACTTCTTCTGAGGTCTCTCCGTTCAGTTCCATAGCTGTGTTTTCAACTGGAGTGTCTGTTTTCTTGTTGCATTTTTTTTGAGTTCTTTGTAATCTGGGTATTAATTCTCTATTAAATGTATAGTGGTCAAAGACTGTGTCCTATCCTGTAGGCTGTCTCTTTATAGCTAACTTCATGAAGTCCTATTTATCAGCTATTGGCCTTATTTCCTTAGCATTTAGGTCCTATTCCGAGACCTTATTATTCCAGTGTGATGATGTTTTCCCTATTTTTACCTCTAGCCATTTCAGGCATTTCCATATTACCTTAAGTTCTTCCTTCTGCTTGGGGTTGACTTTTGGAGAGGTGAAAGACAATTTTCTGTATGGAGATACCCAGATTCCCAGCACCATCTCTTGAAGAGGCCACCTTTTCTCCAATGAATATTTTTAGTGGCTTTGTAAAAATATCAAGTAGCTATAATTAGCTGAATGCTCTGTTGTAGTCTACTGATGTCTTTTGCGCCTGTACCCCACTGTTTTCCATCCATGGTTCTGAACTATAATTTGATATGAGGCATAGTGAAACCTCTAGCCTTACTGTTCCCCCACTCTGCTCAGGATTACTTTGGATGTTTGTGCTTCCACATGAATTTTAATGTTTTTTTTTTCTATTTCTGTGAGGAATGGCATTAGAATTTTGATGGGGATTATGTTGAATATGTAGATTGTGTTTGGTAAGATAGCCATTTTTATAATGTTGATTCTTCCAATATGTGTGTGGGGTATATTTGCATATTCAAGTGTCTCCTTTAATTTCTTTCCAGTATTTTAATGTTTCAGAGGCCTTTCACTTCTTTGGCTAGGGTCATTCTATTTTTGTATACATGGCATTTATCAATCAGATGGTTTCCCCCATTTCTTCCTCAGTATGTTGGATATTGGTATATGGAAAGGCTACTGCTTTTTGAATGTTAATTTTGTATCTTGCTAGTATGCTGTAAGTGTTGATCAATTCTAAGAGTTTTCTAGAGGCATCTTTATGGTGTAATGTATTGACTTACATCATCTACAAATAAGGATACTTTTCTTTTCCCTTTCCTTATATGTTTTCTTTTAAATTGTTTCTCTTGTTTTATTGCTCTTGCTAAAACTTCCAGTATTATACTGAATGAGTGTAGACAAAGTAGACAGAGAGCCTTGTCTTTTTCCTGATTGTAGTGGAAATGTTATGAGCTTTTCCCTATGTAATGTAATTTTGGCTATAGTTTTGTCATACATTGCCTTATTGTATACAGATATGTCTGTTCTGTTACTAGTTTCTTTGTAACTTTATCTTGAAGGAATGAATATTGGATCTTGTTAAAGGCCTTTTCTACTTCTTTGTTATGATCATGCAATTTATATCCTTAGATCC